GTGTGTGTGTGTGTGTGTGTGAATGAGTGTGAGAGTGTGTGAGTGTGTGAGTGTGTGAGTGTGAGTGTGAGAGTGCGAGTGATCATTGACCTCAGAGCTGAGAGTCAGCAGAAACACACAATACAGCTCGGCCTGCTGTTGTTCCTGCTCTTCACACACATATCCGTTACAGATGTGAGACATCATGACCCGCTGCTGTGAGGAAGCTCTATTGTTCACACAAGAGTCTGATGAACAGCATCAGATGAGCGGGAAATCACAGCAGCAGAGGCCCAGAACAATGTCTCTGCTCTTACTGAGGCGTTCATGACCAGCGCTCGATTGGTTCACAACCTTTAAACTCCATTTACGAGGAATTAAATCATAGGTCTGATAGGAAATTAGAGAGCTAGCTAGATCTTCTTTTATTGATTCTTCTTATTTATGGAAGATAACTCTATAGAGTTCATATAGAAACTAATGGGATTATAGTGAATGAGCTCTGAATTATGACTTTGGCGACACCACGCGGTGAAAGCATGCGCTGCACACCCAAAATTAAATTACGTATATCATTAAATTAAAAGAATTTATTAAATGACTGATTTTTCCATTAAAAAAAACTATTCTAAAAGAAAAAAATATAATATAAAACATAAAAACATAAATATAATATAAAAAGCAGTTTTACAGCCTCATCCATAAAATAATCTCTGTAGTGTCCAATAACTTTATAAATATATATTTATTTATTTTTAATTTAAATAATCCTGATATCAATGTCCAAAGATTCATATACAGTGGCTAAATCAATTAAATTAATTTGAAACCTTTTATTTTTATTTTTCCTTAAAAGCTTCTGTTTGTTTAAGTAAATTGTGTTGGTTATAATATTGCATTAACTATGACAAAAATCTAAAATGATTAGTCTGGGATTGATTTTTTTACATCTCAAAAACCAGCAATTTTTACAGAGCTGTGTAGACTTTTTATAGCCATTGTACAACACTGAAAAGTGAAAATCATTCTTGATAAGAAGGTTCTTTGATGCTGTGAATGAAACAATCAAACTAAACATACAACTTTTCTTGTTTTATAACAAAACACACGTCCATGAGGAACAGACACGTTAAGATTTACACAACTGATCTTTTATAAAGCACTTTACATAGTCAAAACACAAGAAAAGACCTGAGGACATCTGACACCAAACACAGTGTTCTGATTTCAGCAAAACAGATGCAATACAAAATAGCTTTTCGATAATAAAGTCTGATATCATCGTCACAAACAGGCATAAATATACATACTCTCTCAATAAGCACTTCCTCAGAATAATATCAATTCAATGCAAATAGTAATTCTGATTAATTCACTGTACAGCTAAACAGATGAATGCAATATTGTAATATTTTCAAAGCGTCTGTTGGTGCATAATATTCCCAGATCCTGAGATTCAAACGCAGCATATAATCCAGGAACGTGAATGAGATGTAAACCGTTCAGCCTGACAGAGAAACGCTCACCAAGCATATTAAGCACTCTAGTGACATTTATCTATGTACTATATGACATTTATCGTGTATGGTAATGTGTAACCAGTGGGCAAGGTTAGGCTGGTCAACTTCAGTAGCTGGTAGATGTCAAAACAACACCATTCTGCTGCAAAAAAAGTGTGTTCTGAAACCAATTGCAAGCAGCATATAAATCACAAATAATTCATAATTCTACTTTTTGAATACCGTGTGCATGCGACTCACTAAGAAACACTTCTTTTGGCTGGCGTTATAATAGTTACTGCATATATCTGGTTCTTTAAAACACGTTATTTACTGGTTTCCATCATGTTTACAGGAAAGAATCAACCGAGCTGCAATGCAGTGCTTCAGTGTGATTGTGAAGTCTTTGAAGGTTTAGTGTCATCACAGGAGTGACTGCTGCTCTCTTCCACCCTTCAGTTCTCGTCGTTCTGGTTTTCTAGCTTCTAGCTGAAGCTGCAGCATATATCTGGTTCTTTAAAACACGTTATTTACTGGTTTCCATCATGTTTACAGGAAAGAATCAACCGAGCTGCAATGCAGTGCTTCAGTGTGATTGTGAAGTCTTTGAAGGTTTAGTGTCAGAGAAAACATCACAGGAGTGACTGCTGCTCTCTTCCACCCTTCAGTTCTCGTCGTTCTGGTTTTCTAGCTTCTAGCTGAAGCTGCAGCACGCGGAAGGCTCGTTCTCCGGCCGCATCACGTCATGAAGGTGAAATCTGGGCTCGACGGGCAGCTGGACTGAACGGCTCACCAGCTCCCTGTGCATTACATCACAAGCTCTGTGTGGAAACTCTAACATCTTTAAAAGTTTGCGAGCATGCTGGAAGAAACTCACTTTGCCACCGTCATAAAGGCCTCGTCCACGTTGAGTCCGGTTTTGGCACTGGTCTCCAGGAAAATGACTCCATACTCCTGCCAAAACCACGTTTGGAGGGGTTTAATGTGAATAGAGCTCTTACTATTTGAGTTCCCAAACCAATATTTGACTAAAAACTTTTTTTTTTACTTAGTTATGAATTATTAGTTTTAATTTGTGAACTGATTCTAAAAGAACAATTAAAGCTGTACTAGCTTATAATATACATACAGTAATAATATATATATATACACACACCACACAATTGGTCAAAAGTTTGGAATAATTATGATTTTGTCATGTTTTTTTGAAAGTCTCTTCTGTTCACCAAGGCTGCGTTTCTTTGATCAAAAATGATTATTGTAATGTAAAACAGCTGTTTTCTATGTGAATATCTGTTAAAATATAATTTATTTCTGTGATCAAAGCTGTGTTTTCAGCAGTCTTCAGTGTCACATGATCTTCAGAAATCAGTATAATATGCTGATCTGCTGCTCGAGAAACATTTCTGATTAATATCAATGTTGAACACAGTATTATTTTTGTGGAAACCGTGATGCATTTTATTTTTCAGCATTCACAGATGAATAGAAATGTATTTGAAATAGAAATATTTTGTAACATTTTAAATGTCTTTACTGTCACTTTTGATCAATTTAATGAATCCTTGATGAATACATTTCTTAATAATAATTTTTTTTTTTTTTTTTTATGGTAGGGTATCACGGTTTCCACAAAAATATTGTGCAGCACGACTGTTTTCAACATTGATAATAATCAGAAATGTTTCTTGAGCAGCAGATCAGCATATTATACTGATTTCTGAAGGATTAATAGAGAGATTTAAGGCTTTGCATGACTTTTTGAGATCATACTTTCCCATTTTTTCGACATAACTGTCCGTGATCGGATCTGAAACACTGCAATAGAACAGATGGGCCATGATGACTGACTGAGACTCACTCTGGCGAGTTTCTCTCCCTCGTCTCGTCTGATCGCTCGAGCGCTGGCCATATCTGACTGTAGAGACGACACGCAGTTACAGTTACACTGCGTGCTTGAGTTATGGCTTATATAACACCAGATCCAAGCTCAAAGTCTTCTTACCTTGTTGCCAAGCAACATGATGACCACATCATCCTGAGCATATTCATGGATCTCAGTAAGCCACGCCTACAACAAAACATCCAGCCAATCAGAAGCCTCTAACATTCTGTCTCTAAAGATCCAAAAATCCAAATGAATTTAAGTAGAATAATGTTAGATATTTGTTATGATAATCAGTTAAATTATGTTAGATAAACATTTATTAAACATATTATAGTTAACCAAAACTAAAACCATGTAAAAAAAAAATTACTTGAAATAAAGTAAACTTTCACTGAAATAAAATAATTTTAACTAGTTTCAGTAATGTTTTACTAGGTTAACTTGATGGACTAAAATAACAAACTTTCACTGAAATAAAATTTATATAGACATATTTAAAAAAATTAAATAAAAATATGAAAAAAATATTAAATTATTAAAAATATTAAAACTATATGTAACTAATAAATTATTTTTTTTTATTATTAAATATAAAAAATTTAAACTAACTAATATTTTAATGATACTAAAATAATTACACTGCTTACAATTATGAACAGTTTTTTTCAACAAATGCTCGGTGAAAAGAAATGCTTAACATTCAGTAGACTATCAACCTCAGGAGGAGAACCTGAATATTATCACTGTTATATTATTTATTTTAGTCTGTACCCTTGTGTTGTCGAAGGAGGATCTGCTGGTGATGTCATAGAGCAGGAGGAGCGCTGTGAGATCAACAATAAACAGGTATTGATTAGAAGAAAACCTCCGTGTCCTACATCACACTGAGAGACAGTGAAGGGCAATGTTCCTCTCAGCTACAGGACAGACATTTGATTGAATTCTAGTAAATGCAAAATAATTGCAATGCTCAGGCAAACCGCTATAGAGTTGGTGAACGTGGTTTACAGGTTTCATAGAAAGAGAATGATGTGCGCCGAATTAGTCGCTGTAGAAATCGAATACTTTAAAGGTTGTGGACGAAACGGCTCAACAACGTCATCATGCTTTAAAGAAGAGTGGCTTGATTAACGACACAGGTGCAGTAAAGTGCAAACTCTACTACATGGGGATGTTTGGATAACTGTAAAAGAATTGTTCACGTTTTTTTATTTTCAATACGTATTGAAAATATAAAATGTTATGCATAATAAATAATTGACCTCAAAAAGGGAATTCATGAGCAATAACTACTTAATTTTTCATATAATATAATATAATATAGTATAGTATAATATAATAATAAAGAATTGAACTGTTCTGAAATTATTTTTTAATAGAATTTCTTGGAATCACAGCACTGTAAAAAAAAAGTTTTCTCAGGTAACCTAAAATATGCATAATTTAGTTACATCAAGGGTCAAACATATAAATAGCACACTAAAGTTAAAAGTTACACACTTTGTGTGTGTGTCTGTGTGTGTGTGTCTGTGTGTGTGTGTGTCTGTGTGTGTGTGTGTGTGTGTGCGTGCGCTGTACAGGTCTGGTATAAAGAATGTTTTTGCTCAGCTGGTCGAAATGTCCGCCCAATAGAGAAAAGTTTTGCTCAGCAAGAAATTAGATCATTTCTCACCCTGAGCGTCTCTGTAATACGCGTGTGTGACGCTCCGAAACCTCTCCTGTCCCGCTGTATCCCAGATCTGAGACAGAAGGTCATTGACATTCATCCGTCATAATGATCTGATTTCTCTCTTGTATCAGCTGATTCATTAACATCTCACTGTATGAGTCTCAAGAATCAGAATCAGCGTCACTCACCTGTAATCTCACCTTCAGCTCATCCACTGTAAGGACTTTATTCTGCCAACAGAGAAGCCGTGGATGTGGATCACATTATACAGCATTAGAAAGCACACTATCAGATGCATCTCTCATCCATTTCTCTATCCACTGGTGAAAGGCTGATATTACTCATTAACAGGGTGAATTACCGTAAATCCGATTCCCACTGTTGCAGAAAAAGATCCAGGGATAAATTTGCCTTGATCAAACTGAACCAGTAGAGACGTCTTTCCCACTCCACTGTCTCCCACCAGGATGGTCTACAAGATGACAAGACAGAGGGAAGATGGAAAAATTAGGGACGTGCATTATTAGAAGCATGCGTTAACAAAACCGTCTTGACTGTTTTATAATTAGTGTGTCTCTATTTGAAGTCACAGATAAGTGCTGGTGCTGATGGAGGTGTGTTGTTGCCATAACAACGACCAACCCCCCCCCCCCCCCCCCCCCCGGA